GGGCTTCTGACAGAGATCCAAAGGGATCTTGATATCAAAACCCTATCGTAACAATATAATACAAACACACAGGGGATGGAAAGAGAAATACAAATATAAAACTATGCAATACAATTGTAAAACAAATTGTCAAAGCAGAATTTCCAAAAGCATTGCAATATATAGTATAAAGCAAAATGACAAATACATAGAACTAAAATAAAGAAGATTATAAGACACTATTAGTGCTTGGCAAGGTCTGTGCTGCTCTCTTTATTTCTTGGAAGACCATTTTACATTTTCCCTACCTAAGCATGGATGAATCCAAATAAGGAAGCGAGGAGGGAGAAAGCTCACATGCTGTGAATATTTCAGAGCGTTGTCCATTGCTGCCTTGTGTAGAAACAAAAGAAGCAGCCTTCATGAAAATGACATTTATCTAGGTAAGCTATCATAGAGAACACCAGACAAGGCTAGAGGTAAAAATCTTGCTTTATTAAAATAAGTGTCAAGTTCCTTGCAATTCAAAGCAGCAGAAAGATCACCTGCAGTGAGAGACTCTGATCCCATTTCTAGTTACAGAAAATTTGATTCAGCTCCATTCAGTTCTGGTGTTAATACAATCAGGAGCCAGTGCACAAGGTCAAAAAGACAAGAAGTGACAGCAGAATAAACCAATAAGCAAAGGACCTGATTAAAAGAGAGAGAGACAATGAGAGAGAGAGAGAAAGAGAGAGAGAGAGATGGTGGATGGTAACTGAAGTGGTGGAAGTGGTGGTGGGAAGGATACCCAAAGGGAGCCAAAGGGAGAGGGAGAAGATTACTAACATATGGCAGGTATCAATTATTTACCATATATGTACAGTTAAAAAAAAACCTTCACTCCCCCTTTGGGAATGAGCCAGCATCTAACAAGCAGAATTGTGTTTTAAAAGCACCTGGAAAGGAAATAACACAATTGACAGTTCTGCAGTAAATTAGAATCAGTATAAGTACATAATGCTCTTGTTCAAAGAAGAAATTATGAACCTTTATAAATTATGCTTCAAGAAAAGAAAAATCTAACTAGCTGCACCATGTCATAGGATGCTCTAATTTATGCTCAAGTAGTATTTCTAGGAGTAAATAGAGGAGGGGTAGGGAAGTATAATAAATATAATCTTTTTTCTCCTCCTCCCCTTTTAAAAGTTTTTTCCTTGTTTAGTTGTAGAAATAAGGGTTTTCCTCCTGTTCTTACAAAAGCAAAATCTTACAAAAACAAAATGCATTGGAAAATGATCTGCTTACTGAAATTCAGCATTTTGAAGACTGAGAAACTATACTGAGAAACCACATAAGTGAACTGGGTCATCATTTTATCTCACCTCACCTCTGGATTAATTATATCTAATTCTGGTTTTTCCCCAGTAACTTCCATGGTAACCTCTTTGTGATTCAGAATCACAGTGCATTTATGCCTGATAAATAATTTGCCCTTGTGACTAGTTTCTCCTTTTCCACATTTCCTTTGAGAAAGGCTATTTCATATTCCACTGACTAGACAATATTTAACAGATAGGTAGATTGAACAGCAGACCTGCATATTAGATAGCAGAAGGGAATATTTATGTCCATTGTTACCTAAATTGCTACCGTGAAACCTGTACCCACCCAAATTGGTATGCTGAACATGCTAAGGGGACTGAGGTAGTGCTCAAGTGTAGATCACAATCCCCCGTTGTGCAGCCTTGTGTGTGTGTGAGTGAGAGATTAGACCTGAGACCGAAGACAGAGGAACTGTACACAGGGCAGGACTGGTGACAGCCCATTTCCAAGCCAGATTGAAGCCAACACGCACAGGTAAGGGAGGTTGAAATTGTCCCCCACTCCATGCAATTTTTAATGTAAAAATACACCAGGCCTTCCCTTTCCCTTTCCCTCCTTTCCCTCGTACAGGGATTAAACAAAGAAGAAAATCCTCCCTCGCTTTGACACTTGAGGTGTGGTGTGTGTGTGTGTGTGTACATTTTAAAATAAAAACCTCTTCTGCTATCCATGCAAGTGTGTGTTTACTTTTGATTTTTAAAAAAGGGGGGAGTCTTAAACTGCACAAATGTGTTTCAGGTTTCATGTAGCTTAAGCCTCAGTGTGGGTTGCATGCTAAAGTAATAACATTGCTGCAGGTTTATCTACACTGGCCAGAATACTCTGGGCTGCTCCTGGAGTATTCTGGCCCCAGACCTGCCCCAGAATCCCCCCATTACCTCCATACTCTGTAGTAATGCCAGGCAGCTATCTACAACTGCAGCCCCACTGGCACCACCACCGCTGGCAAGAGTCACTCCCTCTGAAGTCAGAAACAAGGTGTCAGCACCCATCTTATGGCTGAGCACTTCACAGTGACCACCAGGCGACAGTGGGACACATGGCATCGCTATGGAGTGCTCTAGGGTTTCCTGCAAAATTCAGAGCAAAAGGTGTTATTTTATAAACTAATTGAAGGCTGGTATGATGCATATTCAGTGCAAACCTGACTTACATTTTGAAGATAGTCCACACTGAGATGTGGACATGCAAATACATCACTCTGGCCATGTGGTTCTTCATGTGGCTCTTTTGCTAAGTGAGTCCTGAATGCACGCACATTTGAAAGCAGAAGAGGCGGGTGACTCCAGTGTGAATCTGCACTGTATTTTAGCCGCAGCTTTAAAGGTAGCTAACCAAACTGCTTAACCATATAGCCAAAATAGATTTGACACCTTGGGTGGTTCCTTTCAAATTTCAGCTAAAACCCAGGGTGGACTCACAGCTCCACTGACGCTGGAGCTACCAGCCTCCACAGCATGAAACTATTTCTGGATATCTTCTATCAATCACATGGGTTTAATGAACCTCAAACAGAAGCCGGCTAAATGTTGACCAACCCTCCATCTGTACCGGATGTGTTTTCCAGAGGTTGTGTACCAGGAGCAATATAAAGATGGGGAGTAAGCAATCTGTTTCTAGCCAAACCATTCATATTGGATCGTTCATGCTTTCCATCACAGCAGGTCTTGAAGCATAGGTCAAAGGTCCTTTCTTATCCCCTAGGGAGCACCTCCAGGAAGGAGCAGCCTAAATGGCTTCTATTGATCCAGCAGATTGATTGAGCCCCTGCTGTGATTAATTTTGGACCAAAAGCACCTGCGGTAGTAAAGCAATAGGTCAAGGTTTCCAAGTTGTATTGGCTACACAACCATAGCAGGTTTCTAAGGGGCATGCAAGGCCAGTAAAAGATTGCAGCTTGTTAAAGGCTTCCCAGGGCTGCTAATATTAACCCACAGAACAAGCCATGGTCAGCTTCATAGCTTGCCCTAATAGCAGCTTAATAGCACAATAATGTGGACTGAGCAGAAGTTATCGGATTGATCTTCTGATTGATGGGTAAATCATGACCACTCTGGCCTTTTGCTGTTAGCTGTACACTGGATTGTTTTGAAATGCATCATATATTCTGACCACAGCACTTAGCTCCATAATTAATGTTTGGAATAAAGGAAGACATTAATTTATTCCAGCTCTTGTTTTCTCCACATTCACCCCCAGCCATTCTTTCTAAATATGGGAATAGATTCTAGCACTGCACATACAGGAGAGTGGTAGTGCTTCTGCTTCATTCACTGGCTGGACCCACTTATGCACACATGCGAGATACACACACACACACACTTGTCCCTCCTGGTTCATGGACTTCTCATCCAGAGTTTTAATCCTTCACAGATGGCAAGTCAGGAGGAACAAAATGGTACATACGCCCACAGTGCATGCGCAGTGGTGCACATGAGAGCGTGCCACCATTAAAATAAACAGGGCTTGAATATCATTTCTGACTTATGGCAACCCTATGGTGAACTTATTATGGGGTTTTCTTAATAAGATTTGTTCAGAAGGGGGTTTGCCTTTGATTTCTTTTGAGGCTGAGAAAGTGTGACTTGCCCAAGGTCACCCAGTGGGTTTCCATGGCTAAGGAGGGATTCAAACCCTGGTCTCAGAGTTGTAGTCCAACACTGAACCCACTAAACCACATTGGCTTCATATTATCACTATATTATTATTATTTATTTATTTACGGTCTTTGACCAAAATATATTATCACTATATATTTCTGCAAATTTCCATTATGCCACAGGTGATGGTGTTTAAGGAGAAAGAAGATATTTTGCTCTTACAGACATTGTCCAAGTTTAATGACTTAGTGACAACTCCTGTTCCCAGATCATCTCTGGACCCCTGATGCTACAACTTTTAAACATACCTGGAACAAATAAAAGTCAACCCATCTATCATTAACACATTGGTGTAGGTGGGTAGGCGGGCATGTTTGAGAGAGGGGACACAATATTTGGGGATTTGATGGAATAACTATTGATAACAGAATCAGGAAAGTAGATGGACTGTGTTATGGGTTGTTTTTCCATGATTGCATGGAAACACAGCATTTCTTTATTGCACAATACATATTCCCAATATTTGAAAAATAAAACCTGAAATTTGAGCTGCTTAAATTTTGAGTTGAGTTTCTCACAGGTAAAGAATTATAAATTATTGTTATAGTTTCAATAGAAATGCCATACATCTCTTCATTTTAAGGAAAACTGAGCAGGTGACCTATGTGTCTGCTCCATCTGCTGTCCAGATGTTGTTGACTAACATGTTGTTGACTGCTCCCCTCTTTGACAGGTGAGTGTTCTTTCTTCCTCAACAGGACTTGGAATGGAAAGCTTTTCAAAAAGAATACCTTAAAAAAGAGCAGGGATGGAGAAATCTCTTTTTGACCAAGGGCCAAATTCCAATGTGGAAAGAGTCTCAGAGGACACATTGTAGCACAGGGTGAGGCTAAAGTCATGGTGCTTGGCCAGAGCAACCCAGGGTGGGTGTAGATGTAATCCATACCAATTATCATGAATTTCCATTTCCCATCATACAAATCACAGATTCTGTCACCATTTACCCCTGTGTGTTTACTTGGCAGTAAATACCACTGCATGCAAAGCATAGTTTATGCCTTCAGGCATACAAAGCAAAGCTCGTCTCTGCATGTCTTCTGATGAACAATCCACACTGCATTAGCATCCCATACTGCAAACAGCTCAGTTAAATGCTCAGTTAAAGACATCTTAGCTTTTGGAATGTAAAAGGAATAAACTCAAAACATAAAAGAAGCAAAGTTTTTCATTATTTACAAAAGAAGAAACCACAAATTACATGTTTGCAAGAAACAAAGATTAGTAAAAATGAAACAAAATATTTACAAAACTATAAATTGGGAAGAATGTTTATATCGGCATCAGAAAAAAGAAAAGGGGGGTAGTGTTGTATATCCAGGATAAGTACAAATCAAAAGAGATCTTGAATGGTCAAAAAGAACATTACATAGGAGTAGAAGCTCAAATAGAAGATGAAAAATATTTGTATTAAGGGATATACAGCCCTACAGAAAAGCAAGGAGACTTCTACAGAGAGTTACATGAAGAATTAGTAAAATTGGAAAGAGAAAACTATAAATTGATATTGATGGGAAATTGGAATGGTGTAATAGATCCTAAAATAGATAGAGCATCTAAGAAGAAAATAACGAAGAATCAAGGAAAATTACCGGCAACTTTTTTTGAATTGAAAGAACATCAGAATCTTAAGGACGTGTGGCCATGTTTGTATCAGAATACTGACGGCTTTACTTTCTTTTCAGAAACTTACAAATCATTGTCTAGAATTGATATGTTTATGATCTTGCCTGAACTGTCAGTGAAAATAAAAGATATGGAAATCTTGCCTAGAATTATATCTGATCATAACCCAATACTATTAGAATTAAAACATCAAACAAAGAAAAATTATAGATGGAAACTAAATGATTCTTCACTAAGGGATAAAGAATACAGAGAAAAAATGAAGAAAACTTTAAAAGAATATTTCAGCATAAACAGGACAAAATCAGTAAAAGAAAAAGTTACATGGGACGCTGGGAAAGTTGTAATGAGAGGTCTGCTGATACAAAGAGGAACTCAAGTAAAAAAGTTAAAAGACGTAGAACTGAAAAACTTAGAAGATGAAATAAGGAAAGTGGAAGAAGAACTAAAGACAGAGCCAACAAATGACAGGAAAGATAAAAGAATGAAGTGGTTAAAGAGACAAATGGACATGAAGCTAGCAGAAGAAATAACAAAAAAGATGAAATTCATTAAGCAGAGGCAGTTTGAGTCAGCAAACAAAACAGGGAAATGGCTAGCATACAGATTTAAAAAAGAAAGAAAAAAAGATTGATTACAAAAATAAAAGAAGAAGACAAGATACTTTAATCGCAGGAGAAAATTCAAAAAGCATTTCAAAAATACTATATAAATTTATATGGGGACGAAGAATCTAATAAAGAAGGTATAACTGATTACATAGAAAGGCAAGAAATAGAAAAGATATCACCAGAACAACAAGAAATATTAAATGCAGAATTTACAGAAAATGAGATAGTTCAGGTGATTAAACGGTTAAAAAAAGACAAAGCACCAGGCCCAGATGGATTTACAGCAACATATTATAAAACATTTATTGAGGAACTGAAGAAACCACTATTAGAAACCTTTAATAAAATTAAAGAAGAAGGAGTTCCTGACACATGGAAAAGTGCCAATATTATATTATTATCAAAAGAAGGACGGGATGAGGTGGAACTTAAAAATTATAGACCAATTTCATTACTGAATACGGATTATAAAATATTTACATCGATTTTAGCTGAAAGACTCAAACAGGTTTTAATAAATACTGTTAAAGAAGAGCAAGCTGGATTTCTCCCTGGAAGGCAATTAAAGGACAACATAAGAATGGTCATCAACACTATCAAGTACTACCAAAAAAAAAAAAAAAAAAAAAAAAAAAAAAAAAAAAAAAAAAAACAATGACAAAAAGATGGCACTTATCTTCCTGGATGCCGAGAAAGTGCTCGATAATGTTAATTGGTTATTTATGAAGGAAATATTAAGGAAAATGGAGATGGGAAATAAATTTTGTAATTGGATAGAAGAGATATACTCAAAACAAACTGCTAATTTGATAATAAATGGAAGCATAACAGAAAACATCAATATTGAAAAAGGGATGCACCAAGGATGCCCACTCTCACCACTTCTTTTTATAATAATACTGGAAATACTGCTAAACAAGATAAGATGAGATAAGAATATAAAAGGAACAAAAATAAAAGGTAAAGATTATAAATTAAGAGCATTAGCAGATGATCTTGTATTAACACTGGAAGATCCACTAACGCAAATTGAGAATGTGCTACAGAATCTGAAAGAATATGGAAAGGCGGCTGGATTTAAGATTAACTATGAGAAGACAATGATCATAACAAAGAACATGACAAATACAGAAATAAAGGAATTAGAAACAAAAACAAAATGTAAGATAACCAAAAAAGTGAAATATTTAAGAATATGGATAACCAATAGAAATACAAAGTTATTTGATAATAATTATAAGAAAAAATGGAAAGAAATAAAAGAAGAGATGGTAAAATGGAGCAAACTGAAATTTTCTTTAACAGGAAGAATAGAAACAATCAAAATGATGGTTCTTCCTAAAATGAACTTTTTATTTCAATGTATCCCAATAATTCATAATAAAAAACCATTTAAGGACTGGCATAAAGATATAAGGAATTTTATTTGCAATAGTAGCAAAGCAAGAGTAAATTGGCTAACAATGACAAGAAGGAAAAAGGATGGAGGTATGAATTTACCAGATTTGGAGCTATATCATAAAGCAAATGTATTAGACTGGATCTCCGATTGGGTGATGTTGAAAAGAGAAGAAATTTTAAATTTGGAAGGATTCAGTAACAGATATGATGGCATAGTTATCTATGGTATGAAAAAGACTTGATCCACAAAGAAT